GGCACCTGTAGTTGCCATAGAACAACTGATACCACACTTGTTAAACAGCTGTTTAAGCTGAGTTCCACCTTTAGTGATAGCGAGTGAATCATTTCTTTCTAACTCTTCAGTATCACCAGCAACAGTTGTCATCGGCATACTTAGAATAAAATTTTATAAGAATAAATTTTTATTCTTTTCCTAAGTTCTCGCTTGTTATATGTGCCATATGATGAAATCAACGATTGTGTGTAGATTAGGGGTGTGACAGTTCAAGCTCGTGAACTGTGAGTAAATGTAGTAAAGAGCTGGTGACCATCTCCAGTTCGTACTCATGTGAGCTGTTAACCAGCTCTAGCTCCTACTCATGTGAGCTGTTAACCAGCTCCAGCTCCTACTCATGTGAGCTGTTAACCAGCTCCAGCTCCTACTCATGTGAGCTGTTGATCAGCTCCTTTCATATGAGCTTGAAATGGTGTGCTAGCTCCCGCTCTCGGAACTGATATGGAACTGTCACACCCCTACTACGGAAGAGTGTTAAATCGTAAAAGCTTATTTCTTTCCTGCCCGAAGATTTAATGCTGAGAGTAACTATTATCCATTTCAAAAAAGAAAGACCATGGCCATTTGTTTAAGAACTTTTTTTAAGATGTAGCTACGGAGCTGCGGTTTTCACAAGTCGAAAGAAAAATGTTGGGGCAATAAGAAAAAACTAAAAATTATAGTCCCAAAATCACCTGCAGGTGGTGCACCCTGCGAAGATATTTTGCGAAAGATGTCACACCACTGGGAAAGTTTCGGATTGTAACTTTTGAGGCGACAGGCAGGTAGCCCGGACTGAGATATTCGTTTCTAGAGCAGTCCCAGGTCGTTAGCTTACAAGGTTCCGGAGCTAGAAAGGTTCTCCGGAGACCACGCTAACTCGGTCCGGACACGTCGGAAGATCTCGGAAAGATCTGAAACATAGGTTACCGGATGTGCTGATCAACGTGGCAATGTTTGTTTTTGACTAGAAGTTGATCCAAGATCACCAGGGTATTTTTAATGAAAAAACAGATTTTTGCATGAAGCCTGTCAAAACTAGAGTTGCCGTATATCAGCCATTTTAAGTCAGAAACACACCAAGAACTGCCGCTGCTGCCAGATGTGGGAAAGTAATGTTACGATACATGTATTCGACACGTGATCACAAGTCATATATTGTATGCGTGATTATTTCGTTCACAAGGATATTCCTATTTCCTTTATTAGTGTCTGCGTATTTCATCTCACTCACTGGTATACAGATATCCGATATCTGTATACGAGTAATAATACAAGAAAGTTGTTCTTTATCAAATATAACTTATATTTGATAAAGAACAACTTTCTTGTATTATTAAGGCCTGTAATAATGACTTCTAGAGAAGTATTTGATAAACATCCGATTGTTCCAAACGGCCGTAGTGTAGAAGAAGATGGCTATTCAATAGCCATCTTCTTCTACACTACGTCCGTTGTAAGTTACAAAATTTTACAAAATACACAATTACAATTTACGAGTTTTATAAAAATTTTGTCCCATTGTGATCGGATATTGCCATGCTATTTGGCAACATCAGGAAAGACAAAATCAGTTTTGTATGAATAGAGATTCGAACACATAAAATCTAGCTTTGCAACGAGAAAATGTAGCGTGGGCATATACAAAAAAGCGTATCCAACTGCCAGTAGAGCAGCAATAGCACGTTTTAATGCGAACTGTTCACTTGACTGAGCTTTAAATGAACCCAGTTTTGGAATATCTAGCAGACAAAATGCACAGCTCACCGCACTATTGATCGTTGTTCTGCCGTAGTCAAAGTAAAACTAATGTTTTACAGATCAAGAGTGAATGGAAGTTGTTGTAGTATTGGGAAGATAGCTGTAGCTGAGGATCTTCTAAATTACAGGAAGTGCGCTCTTGAAAGCAGCATTAGTCAGAGCTCTTGGTTCGTTGATAATGGTACAGTAAATAAATTTTTCTACACACTTCTACAGTTTGTGTTATCTGTTTTTCGAGATATACCAAGTGCGTTTGGTACAAAATCGGATTATGCTGCAATGTTATGGCTCATTTTGATTGTTGGTGTACTTCCTATACCATTTTGGATATTACATCGAAGATTTTCGGATGTTAAACTGTTCAAACATGTACATATCCCATTGATGTTTGTAACATTTATTTCAATTGCCTTTTCGCCTTTAGCCGCCAACTATCCATCTTGGTTGTTAGTCGGATTTATTTTTAATTCGTTGATAAAAAAATGGTGGTGGGAACGTTATGCACTTTTGTTTTCAATTGCGATGGATATGGGTGTTCAAATAACTTTATTTTTGGTCTATTTCATTTTCTACTATAGTAATATATACTTTCCACAGTGGTGGGGCCTTGGTGGAAGTACAGCGGACGGTTGTCCGTTATCGAACGCAAATTATTATGGTAATTACTTGAACCAAACACAATAAGTTATATGATGATACGGATATTCAGAACATTTCTTTTGATCTACTAGAAAGCAAGAATTTTGAAGCCAAAAATCATTTGGCACAGGTAAAAACGAGCTGTTTGCCGTCAAAACGGTGGTCCGATATCTCTATTTAGTTTAAACCGGGTATCATCTAATTATGCTTTTGATGCCTGTATTCATCTGCTAATCTTGATGTCATTTTTATACCAGACACAAATGTTATACTTCATTTAGTAGCCTCTTGTTGCAGTTTTCTGAAAAAAGAGGATCAGTAGCTTTTTTCAAAAGGGATTTGAAGTTAAAAAAGAAGAATGGATTTTTCAGCCCGAAAATGGCTGTGTCACGTCATTCTGGATCAATATTCAACTTATCGAACATCAAGTGTCTGTATGAGATTCTCGTTCTGCTGAAAAATTGAAGTTTTTCGCCAAAAATCATATAAATCAAATGTGAAATAATAAGTCAGAAAAAAATCAATGCTAAAATGCAGTTGTTCCTGAACAAAAGATCCTAGTCGACCGAACTTATGACAATTCTGTAAGAGTCTTATATAAGGTAGTCGATGGAAATGCGTTAGAAGTTAGGCTGGATACACGTATGGCGTGGTGTAGGCTGTTCACAAAAAGGAATGCTGTATCCCGCTACTATACTAAAAATCCAATTATCATTTGTAACTTGTTTCCAATTATTTAGGAAAAACCGTAGTCTACCTTCCGTCTCTTTCGTATCACGTACGATGTTTTCAAATGAGAGATGTTTGACTGCTGGATGTATATTATCCTTGATATTTACTATGAAACTGTACGGTTCTACGTTTTTCTATTCAAACTCTGGCAGTGTTTTTAACTTTAAAGTATTGATGTCCTCGTACCTTTCATTACCATCAGTATGTGGCTGTTTCGGTGGATAAGCTGATTAAAATTCACCACGTTTATTAAAACCACTGAATGGACGCTTGTTGTTATTATTTCAAGGACGTGAACCGGAACTCCGTCGAAAATTTGACGGTGGTCGAAATGAATTTCCTCCTCGAGGATAGCGATTCTAACCAGATCTGGGTAAATGTGGTTGCAACGTCCTCTTCAGTTCTTCTGAGCGTTTCTTCCTTCTCGCTATTTTTGATAAAATCGTCGCCGAATAATGAATTTTCTGCTATGCGTAAAGATTTTGATTTTGAAATGACATGCCGAGCCTGTTTTGTGTCCTTCATAACTTTTTTCATGACTGCTAACTTCCTTATGTATAAAGTATGAGCATTACTTTGGCCAAACAAGAGGGCCGTTTGTTGCAATAGTGGTTCTATTTTTTCTAGTTTTAATGCCTTTTTACGTTTTTTAACTTTCAAAATTTTAGACCAGAGATTTGTCAGTGGACGAACAACAGTCAAAATACGTTCTTGGACTGATTTAAAATCCTCATCGGTTTTTGTAACCACTGCAAATTTTGAAAACATTTCTTTCAATTCGAAATCGAGATGAGGTCGTGTGAGAGCTTTGATTTTTAATGGTTTGGATTTATTTAATATCGGTTCTATCAAATCCAAGATACGTTGCACTTCTGTGAACTGTTTTTCAATGTATTTTGTGATGGTTGACGACAATTTCAGATGTTTCTTTGCTTTCTGTGGATCAAATAGCTTGTTTTTTTATGACTTTGAGGGTGTCGATGATGCACTTGTTAACGACGTGCACGACGTAGATGAGCTTGAGCTCGACACTGATCCGTCCGATGAAGGTGAGGACGATGTAGCTGAAACCGGTTTAGCTTTTTTCTTTTTTGATGTCTTTTTCGCTTTTCTTGTTGACAGTGATCTTTTCGTACCTTTTTTGTTCGGTGAATGATCACGTCGCGATGTCCGTTTTTTATGAACTTTGTCCATTTCCTCGTCATCGGGCTTGTCAGAGGAGTTCGACCCGGAAGCGCTATCATCATCGGACGTCTCCGATAGCTTTACATCCGTAGCATCATCTATGCTATCATTATTATTATGCTGATTATCTATAGCATCTTCATTATCATTTTGTTCGTTATCGTTTTGATGTTGATTTTGATGCGTAGTATCATCATTTTGAATAGCATTTGTATTTAGAACAGTACATGTATTACTTGCCATGACATGCTTTTATAGAGATAATTAAAATGAGATGTTTACTTGAGTGAAGCAAATGAAGGAATGATTGAGATTTTTTCTTTAAAGAGCTTGGCGGCAAGAAGCAAAGAAGGGAATACCTGTTAAGCTATTAAGCTTGTAGTTACCGCAACTGAAGTTCCGAGATCAAATTCAACCATATTAAAAGGTTGATACAATATCATCAGACAAAGAAGGTGACGGATTCAGCGGCGGTAGAGACAAAAACATCCAAAATCGATCATTTTTTGTATTTTGATTTGGGAGAAGGTTCAGAAAATTGTTTAACGATATGTATTACAGATGAGAAGTTAAACTTGCTAAAAGATTCGTTGGATTTTCATATAGACGGTAGTCAAGAGATTGTGCCTAATTCATTTTCAAAATTTTATGTTTTCTATGTAAATCATCAAAACCATTTTGTTTCAGTCTTGTTTGCTCTATTAGAGAGTGAATCTTGTTACGACTTGCTCTTTGAGCAAATAATACTGTTGATACCAAACTGGAATCCGTTATTAGTCATATATGACTTTCAGCTGGAACTAATAGACAGTATCAAAAGAACATTTCCGGAAAGTTGTGCAACTGGGTCACATTTTCATTATACACAGATTATCAGCAGACAGTTAAATAGGCACACAGCCGTATCCACTTGACAGTAATCTAGCTCAAAACCTGTTAAGAGTTGTGAATTATATTTACATAATCTGACCTCAACATGTTGTATATCTGCGTTTGTACAAGGTGTTTTCAAATACACATTTAGCGTCAACGTACCCGTAGAATCACTCATTTTTTAATGAAAATTAAAAAGACATGGATTATTATCACAGTTTGCATCTCTTAACTGTTTTAGATAATGAGCAATGCTGCTCAAAACGATCAAGCTAATGAATTTGCCGTCAATATTCATAAATGTGTTAAATTAGCCTATCAGCTATCGGAAACTGTGAAATAATCTTTTGATCACCTCAAATATGAACTTGAGAAGAAGAATGTATTGTATACTACTTTTTTAATATCTGTTTCTTGTAATAAAACATTTCCATTGGATAAAGCAAATATTTTCTTTGAATGAGTTTCTTTAATTTTCTTCTGTTCTTTCTCTTTGATTCTGTTAAAGTGATCTTTCAAAAGTTTGCGTTCAAATGGATTTAGTTTATTGTTAATGTTTTCAAGAGCTATTTCTGTTTGTTGACGAATTATGTGTGCTTCTTTACATTTATTGTGGTATTCAAGTTGTAAATAACGACGTTGGTGAGTTTTATAAATTCGGCTATGCATGTATTTCTTATTCCACAGCCGATAACGTATAAATTTTGATGTAAGGTTATATAATAGTGAAATACGTAAGAATTCTGAGTCGAATTATACTTTCAATAATTTTAAAAATTGTTTTTCGTACAGTCTAATCTCTTTCAGTATACCTCGACGATGTTTGTTGGTGAGGCGTTTCAAAATATCGACATTATTTGATGAAATGTAGTTGAATAATGAGATAATAAGACAAACAAGTTCATCAATTATTTTATTTTTATTTTTTCTAAAATACAATACAGTGAAGCTTTCGACTCCTTTCATAGGGTCATTTTCAACATTAAATTTTTAAGAAAGAGATTACATATATATGTGACAGTGGAAATTGGAATTCAGGGTAATTCGGAATTCCACTAGTGCTAATTGGAATTCTAATCTCCACTAGTGCAAATTAGAATAAAGTGACTACTCTAATTTCAACTAGTGGAAATTGGGATTCTATTTTCCACTATAGGGGAATTCCGAATTCCACTAGAAAAAAAATCATACAGATTTTTCTAATTTACACTATAGTGGAAATCGGAATTTACTATAATACAGTGTCAATAGAAGT